ACAATTGCTAACAAATAACGTTCTGTCTATTCCATAATTTTTTCCCATCAGATGTTAGGAATAAGCAGTTAAGGTGTCAAAAGGCAAAATGAAGAAAAACACTGAAATAAAAAACTGGGACTCACGTGTCAGGTTATTACATTAATATAACCATGAGACATTCACAAGCCTACAAGATAAAACAGTCTGTCCATAAGAACTACACACCGATTTCTGGTTTTGACTATGACAGCAAAGTCTCTGTCATATCTTAGAACCAGAAAGGCTAACAGAAAAAAAAAGTTCTTAAGGTATCAGAGACTTTCTGAGGCAGCTAAGACTTGAGATGCCAAAAAACTTCCTCGATGCTGCTTTCCCTTTCCCTCTGGGCTCACTCCATCTATTCCTTTAATGGCACAGAGAAAGGGACTGAGAAACCAGGAAAGGGGATGAAAAACTGGGAAAGGACAATCACTAAAGGACAGAAAAGTCAGCAGAGCTTTTAGTAATTTCACAGGGCCAGGGGAACAAAACTTGGTCGCTGAGTTTTGCCATGACACCTAGGACTTGAGAAGTCAAAATCCCATAGTGAAGGGAGGCACCGAAGAAGCTTGACACTGTATACTGATTCTCCTCTGGAGGCATTTGTCTGTTCTTAAAGTGCACAGTCAAGAGGCTAAAAAGCCAGCAGAAAGGAACTAAAAAGCAAGAAGCTTTTAGGACTGTCATGCTGCTGGAGAGACAAAAGCAGGAGAGGCCCAAGAAAAATGCAGCCTCTCAGCTGAGTTCCCTGGAGGGTTACTAAAGACAGGCAAATGAGAGGTTTACAAAACCTAAAACCCAACCTCAATCAAGTCAGCTCAGTTCTTGACTACTGAGGTGCTGTGCCTCTATTCTATCTGCCTACCAGAGGATGGGTGAATCCTTTCTAGAGAAATATATCATTAAGTATGTAACTTAATTGCAATTGCATTTAAATTCTGCATATAATGTCTGGCAATCAATCAAAAGTTACCAGAAAAGAAAATAATGGTAATAATAATAATAATAATTACCAGACCAACCAAGATACTTAACCAAAAGGAAAAAGACGACAGAAATAAACCTACGGGTGAGGCAGATATTGGAGTTCGCAGACACTGACTTTAAAGTATCTTGATTGATATGTTCAAGAAAACAGATGACAATATGAAGATTTTCACCAGAGAATTATAATCTATCATTAAAGAAAGAGAGGGTGGGAAACGAAATTTGACCACTAAAAAATACTGAAATTCTACTACTGAAAAACACTACAAATGAAATCAAGAAAAAAAAAAAGTTAGGGTTAAAGTAGACTGGGCATAGCTGAATAGAAAATCAGTGAAGTGAAATATAGGCAAGTAAAACCTATCCAGAATGGAAAAAGGAAAGAAAAAAAAAAAAAGAAAATGCAGAGAAATGCATAAGGGCCAAATGCAACATGATCAAAGGTGTAGTACAGAATTTAACTGGAGTCACGGAGAAAAGGAAAAAAGAATGGGGCAGCAACAATATCGAAGAATCTCAAAATTTTTTCAGAACTGATGAAAGACTCCAGGTACCAGAAACCCCTAACAGAGTAAATACAGAACAAACTATTGTCTTCTTAGGTGCCAATAGCTGCAGCTGTAAAATTAAAATGATTTTTGAATGACTGAACTACAGCAAATTCAGATCACCACAAAACAGCTGAAATGTATCTTATCTACATGTAAAACATAAATTCCCTGCATCAGGCCCCAAAAAGAATTTATTAAAAATCTACAACATTCATCTAAAAGCGAATGCAAATAATAGAGCCATTTGCCTACCTCAAAAAAATAAAATTTTAAAACATAATATAAAACCTCCCAGCGTTTGATCAAGATAAAAAGTACTTCTACATAAAAGGAAAATGAAGATGCTCTGAGAAGAATCATAACTTGCTAGAAGTCTCAAAGATCTAATTTTGGAGCCAGCTCTGCAAGATTCAATCTTTAGTTCTCCATCCACTTCATGATACTTTCCTTCCTCAGTGTCTTTATTTTTCTAAAGTTCTAAGATTAAAGTTCTGAGAATATCAGAACTTTCAGTGGCCGGTAAGGTTCCTACGGGGAGGGTTGAATACCTCCAGACTAGGGATTCACAATTTAGTGGGTTGCAGAAGCAGATGGGATTGTAATGAATCCTCAGATTCATATGCACAACTATTGTCTAGAGACCAAAAAAATAATAAATCTCACAAATGTGTTCTATTTTCCAAATGTATCTGATTAACATCAAAATTCAATTAAAAGCCAAAATGAAGGAAAATAAATTATTAGGAGCAATGTCACTTTGAATTTACATAAGCATTCTTCAGACATCTCTAAGAACATGCCTGACCAAAACCACATTCTTAATCGCAAATTACTAAGGATAATGCGAAAATAAACCAGGGTACGTAGAAACAGCAAGTTTCCTACACAGACAGCAGGAAAATAAATGGATACCTTTAATTCAACAATTCAACATCTAGGAACTCATCATAAATGAGCCCCAAGATTTGTTTTTGTAAGGCAAACTCTCATTACTCCTAATGGCCAAAGAACAACAAAAATAAAACAAAACCCAGAAAGCCTAAATATCCAATAATAGGGGACCAATTAAATAAAGTGCCAAGTTATTACATGGATTATAATATATTCATAACAAATGACAATATAGAATATTTAATAACATGATGAAATATTTATTATAGTATATTAAGGAGGAAAAAGAATACAGAACCACAAACAGGAGACAAAATCAAATTGAAAAATACATATAGACACAACAAAATATCTGGAATGATATATATCAAAGGGTTATCTTTGGGTGGTGGTATCAAGAGTAATTTATATTTTGTTTCTGAGGGTTTATGTTTTGCAAATATTCCACAACAGACTTAGGGGGTATTTTTGCAATCAATACCAAGAGAGCAATTTAGGCATGGCACACACACCAACCCAGCAGACACAGTAAACTCTCAAACTCAGTCTCCATAAAACTCAGCTATACTCCACAGAAAAAAAGTTTAGATTACTCTTCTATTGTAATAGTTTAGTGCTTTAAAATAAAAACTATACTGCATAAGTCAACAGACTATCATAAGGATTAAATAAGACACTGTAACTGAAAGTGTTTGAAAGTTAAGTATACATTAAGTACTAGTTTATGAATATATTTGTGAAAACTATAACAGATTTCTCCAATTTCAAACAGCTGCCTTCTAAGCCCAAAAGGAGTGCTCTGGAGCCAGGACAAGGAGACATAAGTAACAGTAAAGTTGCCATCCCACCAAATCATTTCCTGCTTGAAATGTACTCTTCCCATTTTATTCCTGACTCAGGTGGGACTTGATATCCAAGTCTCGCTCCTACACTAGAAGTTTAAGGAGTACAAAAATCCTGGAAGTGGCCTAAACTCAAGACCAGGAAAATGTCTCCACAGTTATTAGTTCAAACAATGCCACCCAATTCCCGTCTGTGGTCCTCAACCTGGGTATAGAAAAATGAGGATCATCTTCAGGTTCAAGAATGTGTTTGCCCTGAAAATCAGAGGTCAAGTACCCCTAGGGCCATGTTTCAACGTCAGCTGAAGGCTAGAATGTTTACCTGGCTCACTTTCAAATTAAAAGCAGGATTCCAGCATCAACCAGGGACACAGCCATACAGAAGCCATCAATTGGACACACAGGCCAGATCAGACCACAGGTCACTTGGCACCCTTCACTGAACCAAAGCCTACTGAAGGCCTGACTGCCAACCCTTGACCTGGAGGACAGGACAAAGGACTAGTGGGCAAGAGTCAGATTTTTCTAGCCACACTCCATTTTGAAATTCTTGACGGATTTTGACTAGAGAAGTCAAATCTGAGAAAATGTGAAGACTTTGAAATATTAAGTGGAAACATCTGAGTAGGGTTCACAGATCTAGTCACTTCATTTGTTCAGCAACATAAAAATGTATTATTTGCAACTTGTTTTGGTTCATAAAAATCATTCCTGGGCTTGTGAGATGAGGATGGTGGTGCTGGTGGGGGGGGGGCAGGGAGATGGGGGGTACAATTAGTGCTTTTTTTCAGGGTCTGCACAGATCTTAAAACTTGACTACATCAGTTTATCTGTACGTCAAGTTGGAGATACCTTTTCTCCTTCTCTCAAAGAGAAGGTAAAGAAAAGAATACTGGCTCAAAGCACTTACAGCGTTTCCGATGGAAACGGCTACAGAAAAACACATGATAGTAAAGCAATGGAACCAGCGGTGGAAGTCACAGTCATCAAAGTCGGACTTTTCTGTCTATACGTGCATTTCTGGGGTGGGAAACTGATCTGTCTGTTTCGAGTCCTAATATCATGGAAGTCTTCTTTAAGGTCCCTCCTGCCCACTCCCTATCTTTTTCAGAACTACCAGCCGGGAAAAGATGCACCCTTGGCGGCGACGTCTCCCCGTTTGCAAGGATACGGATGGATTGCACAACTTTTCAGCCTTCTGTGACTTTTACCACTCTTTTGGTGCTCATCACTTTTAATGACCCCCCCGTCCCCCCCCCCCCGGAAAACGCTCCTCTCTGCATTACACTTTGTCCTGGCAACAATCCCATGCACTGTCCCCCGACTCCGGCCAGCTCGGATGGCCTTAGACATCTCCACCAGTTTGCCCGCCGTCGGGACCCCCAAAAGCTCCGACTCCTGCCCCACCTTCCTGAGTTGCCCGCCCCCCAAACCCTACTCAGCCCCCAAATCCCGGGCGTAGCATCACCGGCACCCAGTTCTCCTAAGCGCTCAGGACCCGCCACACACCTCGCCCTCCGGACCCGAACCCCCTCCCCGAGTCGGGGGCGGACAACGCTCTCGGTGGCTGGACTGACTCCGGAGGCCGCACGTCCACTCACCAGGCCCCGCCTGGGCCTCTCGGCTCGGCGCCCTCCACTGCCCCCCCTGGCCCGGCCGTGCTTACGCCGAAGAGTAGGGAAGCACTAGCCCAGGGCCCGGCACTTACTCGGGAAGGTAGGTGGAGGAGAAGGAGCTCCACTTGTGCAGCGCGTAGGGCAGAAGCCGGCACTCGGGCGCCGCAGCAACAGCCCCGCCAGCCGCCATCTTGTCAGCACCGTAGCGGCAGCCGCCGAGCGCCGGCCGCGCTGGGAGGAGGGAAGGGGCGTGGCCTGCTCTTAAAGAGACCGCGGCCCGCCGCGGCCGTCGGCTCCCTGCGCCTCGCAGCCTTGGTACCGCTACCTGGAGGGGGGCTGAGGCGCGCGCGCAGGTGCGCTCTTCTCCACAAGTTACCGACGCGGAACCCTCCTTAATGACTTACCCAAAGCGGACGGGAGTGTGAGCGTCTGAGAGACTCTCTTGAAGGACTTGGAGTGAGTGGCGCGCAGGACTTTCCTTACACACTGAGGTAAGAAAAATTCCAAGAATATTATGAAAAGAAATAAATTGTGGTAAAGGGCCAGGAGGGGAACATAAGAAAAGAAACTTGGAGAAGGGACGTCTTTGCGACTTCGGAAACCACTGCCTTCCCCAGTGTATGAATCCTTTAAGGACCCAGCATTGAAGGGAACTGAAGTGAAATAGCGAATACCCTTTCCTTCTGGCGTCGTCCTGGTTTTAAATGTCCTGTCCCCGTGTTCCAGAGTCACACGGGGACAGGAAAAAGGAAATGCTCGCGCGTTTTGTGCCCCTCGTTTGTAAACATTTGCTGTGAGCGTTTTCACACGAATCTTGTGGAATTGGTTTGCTCAGTCATAACATTCACCCCCAGGCCAGAAAAAAAAAATCGTTAAGGAGTTGGGAAGCTGTGTGTCATCGTTTTTCCAGCTAGTAAATCGGCCCGCTTTTAATTCTGACCGAAATTTAGCCCCAAAGTTCAGCTACAGCCAGAGACAGCGTTCCAAGAAAAAGACTACAGAAGGAATTGCTGTGAATGCCATGTGAGCGTCACACCAGCCTCTTAATCAAAAAAGGGACTCTTGCTCTAAGGACCTGGCAGCTTTGGATAATGCTCCCAGCAGGTACCTGCTGGTCAGGGTTAGGCGTGTTTATTCCTTGGCTTAGCCCCTGCAATCGCCATAGTACTTTCCATTCATGGTCTAAGAGGTTCACCCCTGAAAGCCTGGACAGTATCTTCTTCTCCACCTGACAGATGGAAAAACTCCTGCAAAGAGTTTCTCGGGGAATGACCCAGGGAGTTGAAACAACTCAATCGTTGTGTTCGCATCCTGTTAGAATCATTAACCCGCCCCAAACTTTCTCGGATCCTTTCCCGACTTCCTATTTCCGTAGGGGACAACTTACTAGTGGCCTCCACTGCGTAGATCAGATCAAGAAGGCTAAGTGGAAAGGCCACAAAAGGTCAACCTTTAAAATCTCCCGCGCTTTGCGTGTTGCCGCATCTTGGGAAAATATGTGCTCCTCAAGGGAATGCTAGAACCCCAGAGTCCAGAGACAGTGGGAGAGGCCGGAGAAGGTTCGTTCCAAAGGTGATTAGTGGTTATCTTTGAAGAAAAGAGATATTTTTAAGGGGAGAAGATTAGATGGTGACTCCGTTCAATTAGTGTGGGGCCCCGAATTTGCTAATTACACCTCTTACCCTAATGTATGTCGAGTCCTTGTTCTCTTCCAGACATAGAGTTATGGTTTATGAGTGGTCTTTTAACAAAACACATACAGGTTCTTCCTCAGACGACTTTCTAGAACTTTCAGTGACTTTCTATTCCCTTTGGGTAACATCAAAAGTCCTTAGCAGAGGCATTTCATATCCTGCCTTGATGACCGCTCCAGCCTCCTCTCTCTCTTTTTTCTCCTTTGCACTCTTTACTTCAGCCGCACCCAACTAATACGCTGAATTGGCTCCTGTAACTTGAGCTCGCTCTGGCCTCCAGGGCTTAGTCTAAGCCAAGCCAGGAATCCTCCCCCCCATTCTTCACCTGCCTAACACCCATTTTTCAGATTATTTCATTCTGGAAAAATTGTTCATCATCTATTTTGAGATTAGATGCCATTGTCTACATTCCCCTTGGCACCCTGAGTTTCCTTCCTTATCTTACTTAGCAAACATAATACCTTATAATTTCCTCTTGGTTTCTCAATACACTGTATCTCTCCCTAAACTGTCACTCCTGTGAAGGTAGGACTCATACATATCTTGTTCACAGTTGTATCTTCACTCTTGTAAGAGTGTCTAGCACATAGTAGATGTGTAATGAATATTTATTGAGGAATAACTGGATTGTTCTAAAAGGGAACATGGGTTGCAAAGGAAAAAGAATGCCAGAACTTCTCAGATGGCAAACGTGTATCCCTGAGGTATGATTGACATGGAGAATGTAAAGACCCAGGATAGCATGGCTTTCCTGCAGCACAAATTTTACAAATGGCAAAATAAAGCATTCGTATGTTAACGTACGTACAGAGAGATATGATACTGACCCACAAATTTGTGTAAATAAATGTTAAGATAAAATAGAAAACAAGAAATGTCAAGTTTTGCAAGAGTCTGCTAGTAGCTCAGATCTCCTTAAGGGTACACCTTCACCCCCTCTGCCTTTGCAGTATTACCTTAGGTGATGAGGTTTATTATAAGGATACATGGGGAAGGCCTGAAAACTGTCAGCAGCAATTTAGTCCCTCCAGTTCCCCCATACTTCAAAGATTGGACATTTTGGTGTTCACATGGAGAACTGGACATAGGATCATTTTTTTAGGGATCAACGGCTCTAGTGACCTAGTCATCTTGTCATTCCCTAGAAGCAATCATCTTTTACTCTCTGATGCCTTCTAAGTAGGGTTATAGTGGTAAATACTTCCCAGAGCGAGTAATTGATTGTATTTGGTTTGTCACCATTACTATCTTTTTCCTGCAAAAAAAAAAAAAGATTGACTGAGAGCCTGTGATGTACCAGGCCATGTCCTAGATGCTAAGGAGACAGGGATAAACAGGCGAGCCAGGCAAGGACCCTGCTTTCATGGAGCTTACATTCTGGTAGGGCAACATATAATAAATACAATAAACAAATAAGTCCACTAGATCATTTTAGTCTGTGCATTTTAGTGCTAAGAAGAGACAACATAGATTGGATGGTAAAGGAAAGGTTCCCTAAGAAGGTAATATTTGAGCTAATACCTATACAAATAGAAAGTGCTAGCCATGCAAAGGCTCGATAGGAAACATTCTAGGCAGTGCAATGGGCCTGTGGCAGGAAGAGGGTTGGTGTGTTCAAAAACTAGACAGTGTGGCTGGAGCAGAGTGATGGAGGGAGAGAGTAGAGCCAAAGCAAGCAGGGCCCTAACAGTCTTGGTAAGGAGTCATGACATGGAAATGGAACCTGTGCGGGAATCCAAGCCAAAGAATAGCATCATTCACTTTACATTTTGTAAAGAAATGATGGTGGCTTAGACTAGCTGAGGAGATGGAGAAAAGCGGTTGAATTGGGACACATTTTGGAAGTAAAGCCAACTAGACTTGCTGATGAGGGAGAGAAGGCAGGAAGAAAAGGAAAGGATCCAGGATAACTCCTGGGTTTTGGGGTTTGCACCACTGAGCAGACAGTGATGTTTGTATTGAGAGGGGATGATTTGGGGTTGGCACGCGTTTAAGGTAGAAGGAATCAAGGATGCTGCCTTCAGTGTGTACTATATGGTACACATATATGCAATATATAGATATGCAGGTGGAATTCCAAGTATCCAATATAGAGACCTATATTGGTCAGTCTTCTATCAAGCCACCTCATAGGCCTTCACCTTCTTCCTATCCAACCAATCAGTGGTTGTTTTTCAGGGGGGCTTAGGCACTGATTTCTGGGTCAATGAATTTTTCTCCGAGGAGCCGAGTTGCCATAACTCTAGGGATAGCCACTCTAGATAGAAGAAACCCTCTGTGGGAAGCTTCTACAGGAAGGGATGGAGGAGTACAAGGACAATCTAGGAAAAGAAACCTAGAATATACATTGAAAAATCTTAGTTTCAGTCTCAAGTTCTGCTACTTTTCCAGATATGAGACCATGGGAAAGCCACTGGACTTCTCTGAGTTGCATTTTTCTACCACTATAAAATGCATTTAATAAAGTCTATCTTATCTGTTTTACAAGGGGTTTTGATGATCAAGTGAAGAAAGAGTGCCTAGCTTGTCGGCTATGATGATGTAACAGAAGTTCTCATTTAGTTGTCACAGGAACTCTGAGAGATAACTACGATTATCCCCCTTTTCACAAACGAGAAAAATAAGACCCAGAGAGATTAAATAATTGTTTGTCGTCTTCGGTTTGCCCCTCCTGATGTGCGGGGGGGAAGGGAGTAAGGTTGGGTATTTGTTCTCCTGACTCCCTGGCTGTAAGGTCACTCTGGGCTGACTGGCCCTTACAACCAAAGGGAGGAAGCCCTCCTCCCAGGCGGTCCCTGAACACAGCTCTCTCTGGTTTGGGGGTTCCAGTAACCACCCCCTTCCTTGCTACCTGTGGTTTCCCCGCTATGTTCTCACCTCCTGATACATAGTCCCTTTAGTAAACCTCTCAAACTGCTCAATTGAGAATGCCATCTGTTTCCATCTGGGATCCTAACTAATACAGTAACCTCTCTAAGGAAATATATCTTGTCAGTGACAGAAGCAGAATCTCTTTGGGTCAAGTGCGCATCCTGTTGAATGGAATCCCATTCTTCTCCTGTGGGAAGAGACTTAGTAAATTGTGAAGTACTATTCAGATACAAGATATTGTCAAATAAGGAAGGCCACCAGCGTTCAGAAAAGCAAATACAGCTGATTTTGTTTCCAGGCAAAGGAACACACCAATTGGCTGAAGGAGAAAAGAAGGTGTTTTTAATTGTTAGGAATGGGTTTCCTGGTTGTTAACAGTAATTAAAGATGAAAACAAATACCCTAAGTAGGCTACAATAAATCCATAGTTCTGTACACGATTGATTAAAACAAGCCCCATAGGGCAGCCGGGTGGCTCAGTTGGTTACAGCATGTGCTCTGAACAACAAGGTTGTTGGTTCGATTCCCACATGGACCAGTGAGCTGCGCCCTCTGCAACTAGATTGAAGACAATGACTTGGAG